ACAAAATGCTTCACCAAATGGTTACTTTTAGTAATTAAACTGAAATGTTATATCAAAAACTTGAGCAGAATTTGTTGTGGCGAAGATCAAACATATCAATTAGCACGATTAATTATGATCTTCGATACGGATTTACTGCCAATTCTTTCATAATCCATTATCTGCTAAGAATTAAAAGGATCGAACAATGTCCGACACTCACAATTGGGACCAGACAAAATAGCACAGACTATAGAATTTGAACCCATGGCTGCTTAGTTGCATATATAATTATAGTGCTCATAATTCCCTCAGTTTATTGGGGGAAAATAAGCTTAAAATTGATGATTTTGGTGGGTTGATTTTACAGGTATGTCTTGGAATCAGACCATATGAAGAAGTTCTTTCAGTATCTACATAATCCAAATTTTGACATAACATCAGATGTTCAAGCCACTTTTAAAGTTGAGTACAATTTTCTTCTTTTTCTTTTGTGTGCTTTAGTTTGTGCGAAAAAAAAAACATAAGCATGAACTCTTGAGTGACACACAAAAACATATGTGCATGAGCTTTTGACAAGGCATAAATCCACTGTGGCTGAATTCCTTTCTGCAAATTATGACTGGATAAAGTGCTCGATTCCACACACACATATATAAGTATATATCCATGTATAATCATAGTGAGTAATATAAGAACATGTTCAGAAATTGGAAAGAACCATTTAAATCTCTGATGAAAATGTTATGTTTCTTACAGTATAACATAAAGATGGAAAGAACATTTAAATATCTGATGAAAATGTTATATTCTTACAGTTTTCCATGAATACAACACCAAACTGCTGTAATCGGAAAGTTACATCACCAGATAACATGCTGTGAAGGTATAGTACATTATTTTTGCTGGTGAGAAGTTTAAGAACTTTGGGTTCTCAAAATAAAGTAAAATTACCAACTTTATCATCATTGCTTTTCTATTCCCACTTCACAACTATCTCATACATATGATTTTGACATCTCTATATGATGTATTTCATTAGTTTCATGTTTTTATCCTTTGATAATAGTAATGGTGGTTAAATTTTGTCTAGTTATGTTCTGATAGTTAATAACCTACAATCTCATACCCCTTTTATTTATATTTTTTTCCACTCTCCTTAGTTTACATTATAATTGCTATAACTTGTATTTCGATTGATGAATGTATAGGGACATACTTGTAGAGTCCATGTTTCTACAGGCTCTTAATCAAAGGTTCTTTAAAATATCTCGTGGAAAGGATCCACCATATTTCTCATGCTCTGCTGCCTCTGATGATATTGTTCGCCCTTTAAAAGCTTATGTTATTAGCTTTTATTGTAAAGAAAAATGGACTTTACAGGCCCTATAATCAATGCTATTTGAGGTTTGCTATCCATTTTTCTTTTCACTTTACTGTTATATAGTATGTCTTCTTGTTTCTCAATAATATCATGTTACAGATTTTTTTTATTTTGCACCAGATTATAGTACTAGAAGCGGTTCATCAATTTCAATATCCAGGTAATTGGTATATTTTTTTAACATTTTATTTTACTGTTAAATATAATTGAATTTTTTTATAGTTTAGATGGTTTCGTCATTTTTATTTTAATCTTTACTTTAGCATTTTTACATAGTTGTATTTGTTATGGTTTTAGTTTTAGGGTCTCTTTGTTCTTACCTAAAGTAGTTGCATTTTTACATAATTGAATATTTTATATAGTTGAGATGGTTTCGTCAAACTCAAATGGAGATTATGAGATCTGCTTTGTTAGCTATCGGAATTCTTGTGCCCTTATTTCAATTTTTCAGGTAAACAATATTTTAAATAAATAAAATAATTATATAATTTTAACTATGACAATTAACGTGCTAATTATTTTTGTAGCTTCAAATGATACCACAAACTCATCATCAACAGACTCGCAGTTGACACAAGATTTTGATTGAGATTCTCGCAAAAAGTTATTCCACAAGTCATATTATGGTCATATTATTTTTATTTTCTTTGAACATTTAAGTGTTTTTATATTTATAAAAGTGACATTATTATGTTTTCTAGTGAAATATTCATATAAATTTTATTATTTTACAATAAGTAAACTATGTTATTTTTTCTTTAGATTAATATAAGTATCTGCATTTTAATATATATTGTCATATTATGGTGACAATCTTTATTTTGTGACTATATTAGAAAAAAATGTATAAGGTTACGTTATGCATAATCATCATTCAAAATACTATTATATAACATTATATTATGTTATTAAAAATTTGACAATATCTTTTTCGTAACATATAGGTTGATTTTATTGTAGTATTCGTGATGATATAAATTATTAATAAAAATATTATATAATTTAGTGACGTAACTATCTGTCATGCAATATTAGTTATAAAATGATGTTATGTATAACTTTCATTCATAATACTATTAGGTAACGTATTACTTCACTGAAAATGTGACAATATCTATTTCGTCACATATAGATTGATTTTAATTTATTATTCGTGATGATGTGAATTATTAATAACACAATTTTATATAATTTAATGATGTAACTAGTTGTCATTGAGTATCAATTATAAAGTGACGTTATGTATAAACGTCATTTATACTACTAATAGTTGACCATGTATTGCGTCACTAATATTGTGATAACTTTTTCTTTCGTCATGTATACAAAGAAATTATTGAGTGATTGGTGACGATATGGTTTATCAATGACGAAAATGTATATTATTTGGTGACATTATTAATTGTCATTGAATGCAAATTATAATGTGACATTATCCATTAACATCATTATATGTTTAATAATACGTGACGAAATCTTATACATCGTCAAATTTGACATTTAGTGACACACCTAGGGTGACGTTCGTCATGGCGTCAATTTTTATGTCACAAAATACAAATAGTGACATAAATGTATGTTTCAGTGACAATATTTCAGATGCCACAAATAATCAAATATGTTGTAGTGGAGTCAGGTTTCGATACTCACAAGGTAGTATCGATACCCTTTTTAAATTTAGGAATCCAATAACCTATTTTGGCACCGATACTCAAGGGAGTATCAATACTATGGTGAGGGTATCAATTCCTAAATAAGGGTATTAATAATCAGCTATTTTTTCAAACATCGAATCTATTTTCGGTATCGAAACTCATAAATCGATATCGATACCCTAGATATCAGTATCGATATTGTAAGGCCGATATCGATACCCTCGTCTTGAGTAGAGTAAGAAATCATTTTCATCTTAAGTAGGATAATTCGGGAATTTAAGGCCATTCAAGCTTCATAAATAAGACTCCAATTGAGAACATTATTACGACTATAATTACATCTAGAAATGATATAATTTAAGGAATCATAAAACTAGCCTCATATGGTGCTCGGGAAACAAATGGAACACCTGAGCTACTCTAGTAGCTAGGTAAAAGCTTATGTGGTATAATGTCCGGACAAGTCCTAATTAGTGCACAAGGCATTTCTTTATCGACCGGGCGTAGATGCCCCAAGTACTCATATGGAGTAGGTTGGTTGGGTTAACTTCCCGATGTAGAAATTTTGGATCTCACCCTAGGTAGGTTAGAGGGGTGTGTGTCTTTGAGATGTAGCGAAACCATTTGACCACAACATGATGCTCATCTTTGTATGTATGTTTAGATTTGAATTTTCGTATGCAAATATTTACGTTAGCAAGTGTGATCATATAATGGAAGCATATAGTATAGTTTGGTTATTAGTGTGGCACTGAGCTTCTGAGCTTAGCGTTTGAAATTTATTTCCGTGCGCAAGTTCTTAGGAGGAGTATTTGAGGAGCTTATCGTGCAGTCTGCATTCCAGACCAGCATCATCTTTTAAGTACGTCTTAAGTATATTTTTAAAGGGCATGTACTGTATATGACTATCTTGTATTCGAGTCATGTTGTATTTTGAATTACTCTTTTAAAATGGTTGGATGTATATTTTGGGGGCTCCTGTAATTGTAAACGCTGACATTATACTTTTAAATTGCATTGATGATTTTCAATGGATGTTTTAATTTATTTCATTCTTTTAAAAAGAAAAATATTTGGGTTAACCAGCTTAGTGGTCTCGTGTAGCATAATAATCCATCGATCTTCGGGTCGTAGTGGATTAGGATATTATAAAATGTTTCCTTAATTGGAGAATTAACTTTATTAAATTCAATAAAAAATTAAGATTAAATTGATTGAATGTATAAGTAATGATGACTAAATATAAATATATTAATTTTTTAACTATCATGTCATATTCTACGTCAAATGTTAATGACGAGTGACTAGATTGTCAATGTTTAAATAATTAAGTGGTCTGATTGAAAAAAATGAAAGATTAGTAATCAAAACAAAATCTTGTCATAATTAAGTGACTTGATTGTCAATTTTTTAACTATCACATCATCTTTTCCGTCAAATATTAACGACGAGTGACTTGATTATCAATGTTTAAATAATTAAGTGGCCTGGTTAAAGAAAATGAAAGATCAGTAATCAAAATAAAATCTCGTCATAATTAAGTATCATAGGTGTAATTTACCCTAAAGTTTAAAACAAGTATACTAAATCAAAAGGAATGTCCTACACATGTAAAGGTCTCAAAAAGAAAAATAGGCCAATAGATTCATGTTACATTATGCAAAGTTTAATTTGTTCACATCATTTTCAGGTTCACACACAAAATTTTGATTTCATAATTGATTGTGGTTGATAATCCACACCATATTTATATGTGTGCACTAATGATTGTTGGGTCTGTTTCATATCATATTCATATAGATTCATATTAATTTTATAGTTCAAGTTTTTAAATCATTACCGTTATTTTCAATAATCCAAGATTTAAATATGGGTGATCTTACTAACTTTTTACCAGTTATATAAACATTTTTTTGGTTCTTAATAAAATATTTCAACTAAAGAAAAGAATTTTGCATTTTCATTATTTCAAAGAGTCACATTTATGCAAACCAAAGAGTGAAAATGCCCACAAAAAATTGAAAAATAAGTAGGGAAGAATGAGAGGTAGAGGGAGAGGAAGAAGAGTGAGGATTGGAAGAATTTGATGGAGCAGGCGCCAAAGTGGAATTGGATGTAGTTTGGGAAGTTTTAATCATGATGGGGAACTTACAAGTGCCATTAGATGGATCTTGCTTCACAATCTTGGCTAAACCTCCGAAATCACATATTTCTTTAACTTGATTTGCAATTTGGTAGTACATGTTGAAGGCAACCGAGGCGTTCATTTCAATACCCATGCCTGAACATGAAGCTCCAGGCACCAAAGTGGTGCAATCCGTATTATTACAAGCCCATTGAACCTTTACATTCAAATCCTTTTGGTTTGGAGCATCCTTGTTATACACACACCACTGCTTTTCCAGGTACTGCACATTTTTCCCACCAACAAGCGACTTGTTCTGTCCTTTGCCCGAAAGATCCATCGGATACTTAGGTTGTCCATCGAAGGTAAAAACTCCCCAGTGCCTCTCAAACATCCCTGGATCAATACTCTTTTGATTTTCATCTAACAAAGCAAACATGTAAACATCGGGATACGTCTTTGGACGAAGTGGAGTTCCCTCCTTTTTCGCCATTTTCTTCAACAGCCCATCGTAGAATCTCTTGGCATTTTTCGTGGTGGCGTAGATATTACCGTCGGTCGGCCATCCAACTTCGCCGACAATGATCGGTATATCTGGAAATTTGGCTACTTTTAGTGCGGAGACAAGAGTGTCGATATTACCGTCAAGAACACTGTGATATTTTGTACCGTGGTCATCTACAGCACTTGAGTCATCGCTACCGAAGAATGCGTAGTTTTCGGGGAATCCGGGGTATAAGTAAATATTATAGAAAGGATAGATGTTGACAATGAAAGGAGAATCGTTTTGATCGAGAAATTGACATATTTGGCCCATGATATCCGCTATGTCAGGTCGGAATATTCCATCGGATGGTCTGTAACTAGTTGTGTAGTAAACATCACCGTTAAGAGGTGTTGATACTTTGATATCTTTTCCATGACCAGCTTCTTTTAATGCTTTCAGAATGTTTTTCATAGCTGGGAGTGTTACGTTGTTGTACGAACTATTGTAGGCTCTCAGAAATGGTTCATTTCCTACTGCCACGTACCTATAAAACGTTTGAAAACATTTAAAAAGAACTAAGTAGAAGTTAATGGATCAAAATTGAAGGTGAACTTACTTGAAATTCACACGCTTTTTACCCATATGGGCTGTGATATTTGCTTTAACCCAAGCCTGGGCGACACTGTATTTCTCAGAAAGGCTTTTCAAAGATTCATTAGGAATCCCCACCATGACCTCGAGATCAGTTCCGGCCAGGGCATCTAGAACTTGTGGTTCAGCGTGGAAAATCTTAACCTTTTTGATGCCATTATCTTTTATCATTTGAACAACAATCTTAGGGTCCAAAGGATGTGATGCAATGACTCCCCAATTCACACCAAGGTCTTGTGCTACAATGCTACCAGGTACAAAAAGTAATACATATGCCCATAGAAAGACCTTAGCTGGAACCATTTTGAGTGCTATTTCAAAGGAAGGTTTGAGAAAAAAAAACTATGGGTATTCTTTGTTTTTTTATTTTTATTTTAGATTTGTCTCTATTTCATTTGAAAAGGAAAAAACTTGAGATTTATAAGGGTGATTGCATATAGACTTATAGTACAATTCTTGGCTGTACGAGAAACTAGAGATGAGATCCGCATTATTTGTGTGATATTTTTAGTTGGAAGTTGTCCCACAAAGAACTCTGTTGATGTCGTTATTAGCTTCAGTGATTTCTATTTATAGTTTTATTTGGAAATATGAACTAAAATAGAGAGTTTTAGGTTGAAATGTTAACAGTGAAGGTACTGTAGAGTACAAAATAAAGGAAAATGCTTTGTACTTATAGTTGTCAACAAGTTTACATCCATTTTACACATATTTTAAGATAAAATATATAATAATTTTGATTTTCATTCATCTTGAAATACAGTAATTCTGGATTCTAGTCAATTGATGAGAAATGAGAAGGGCTCTTAGTGTATTTGATGCACCAACTTTGGTTTTAGCAGTGGACCATTGGGTTTTTCTTTTCTTTATTTCTATTTTTCTTTTCCTATAATTTGAGTTCTGTTATTTTTTTCATTTCATTAGTCTTTTTATTTTGATGGATGATTTTGTCTACTCTTATTATAATGCCTCAAATGTTTTCATGTTGGATTCCACCAACTATATCACCACAACTACGGCCTCATATCAGAAAAAAAAAAAGTAGGCTCATGAATTTGGGAGGTCTTAGTCCTCCGTCTAAAACTGTTATGCAGTACATATGAAACAAGCTTCTATCTGTCTTCAACATTCCTCTCCATACTTAGGTCCACAAACCTCACATGAAGGGAACTCAAAACCTTGAGGATCTCCTAATAGTAAACCTTGAGGATTTTTTTCTGCAATTATAATCTACTTTTAAAGCTATATCGACTGCAATCATTTCATTGCTGATTTAGCTTTTCACATTCAGGTTAAAAGCCTTGCTTGTCACCCCAAAGGTCCAGCCACGATTTGCTCTTGCCCTAGGGAAAAAGTATCCCACCATGAAATCACGTTTGCGTGTTTACATGGACCCTACTAAATCAGTAAGTCAAATTTCCCTCCTTATGTAGTAAATCTTTTCCATTTGATCACACATATGGAAAAGATGTCAAAGTTTTATTGCCGCTTAATGGCGACGTTTACACAACACCTACTTACAAACCATCCGACAGAATATTCCGACCTGACATAGCTGATATCATGGGCGACATATGTTCCTTTCTCGATGAAAATGGAGCGGCTTTCAACGTCCTATCCTTTTCTTAATCTTTACCAAAACCCTGGATTCCTCGAAAACTATGCATTCTTCGATAACGATGACTCGTCTTCAATGGATGACCATGGCGTTAAGTATCGTAGTGTTCTTGATGCCAATATCGACACTCTTGTTGCGGCACTCAAAGTAGCCAAATTCCCAGACATTCCGATCATCGTCGGAGAAGTTGGATGGCCGACCGATGGTAATGTTTACGCCACCACGAAAATGCCAAGAGATTCTACGATGGGCTGTTGAAGAAAATGGCGAAAAACGATGGAACTCCACTTCGTCCAAAGAAGTATCCCGATGTGTACATGTTTTCTTTGTTGGATGAAGATCTAAAGAGTGTTGTTCCAGGAATGTTTGAGAGGCACTGGGGAATTTTCAGCTTTGATGGACAGCCTAACTATCCAATGGATCTTTAGGCGAAAAGGACAGAACAAGTCGCTTGTTGGCGGGAAAAATGTGCCCTACATGGAAAAGCAGTGGTGTGTGTATTACGAGGATGCTTCCGACCAGAAAGATCTGAATGTAAAGGTTGCATGGGCCTGCAATAATACCGATTGCACCACTTTGGTGGCCGGAGCTTCATGTTCAGGCATGGGAATCAAAACGAATGATTCGGTTGCGTTCAACATGTACTACCAAATGTCGAATCAAAGTAAAGCATCATGTGATTTCCAAGGGTTGGCTAAGATTGTGAAACAAGATCCATCCAATGGGACTCGTAAGCTCCCCATCATGATTAAAAGTTTCCAGGCTACTCCCACTTCCACTTCCAGTCTGGCGCGTTAACCTCCATCAACATCTTCAAAATCCCACTCTTCATCTTCATCTCCATCTGACTCACCCTCTGCAGATTCTACTTCTCCATCCACCTCTCCCCCTCTCTATCATTCTCCCTCGCTTGTTTTTCTATTTTTTGTTGCCATTTTCACTGTTTGGTTTGCATAAGTGTAACCCTTTTTTGAAACAATGAAAATGCAACTTTTCTTTCTCACATCTCTTTAGCTCAGTACAACATTTTATTAAGAACAACCAAAAAGAAAAACGTTTAAACAACTAGCTGGCAAGAAGCTAACAGAACACTCCATATATAATCATTAAGGAGAATAATAATATCCCGGACATAAACTATATACAATAACTTCTAATAAAACTATGTACAACACCAAAAACAAACGAATGAAACCAAAATTCATTAATGTTTTTATACATTGAATATTCGAAGTGAAAATTAATTAACTAACAGTTAATAAAATTAGTTGATTTTTTAGTGGAAACAAAAATTTAATTAAGGCAGACAATAGATCTCGTTCTGAATTGCATCGATCTATATAATTTTTTTTTCTTATCAAAACTCTTAAAGTGATTATTTGTCTTATTAAAACTCCTAAAATGATGTCTTGTTATTTATCATGTTCAGTAGGTAATTGTTATAAATCGTAATTTCATTCGATTTTCTCTTTTAATAAATAAATTTGCATTGCCGAACAAAAAAAATTGTTATAAATCGTGAACATAAATTATAAAACAAACACTAAAGTAAAAATAATCATAACATAGCACTTAAAAAAATATCATATATTGACTCAAAATTTAATTAGAAATTAAATTATATTCTGTTGTAATTCTACCTTGAAGATTATTTGATGATTAAGCTTATTTAGTCAATATTTCTTATTCCATAAGGATTTTTGGTGCCAGTATTTGTCTCTATAAAATAGAGAATGTGGGATGGATCGCTGAAGTATCTCAATAAAAAGATAAACACTTTCTTTACTCTTAAAAATAAGTTTGTAAAGACAACGTTTACTATGGTGAGTTTTATTAATTTTACTTTCATTACGTTTAATTTCAACTTCTGTCATTCTACGTACTTGAACTGTGATAGTTCTGTGAGCACAACAAATGAATCCTAAAGTTTATTTTTTGTATGTTTATTTTTTAAATTTTTATAATCATATATTTCAAGTTTTATTAGAACTGAGATCAAATTGATAGGGTTATTTAAAATTAGGACTAAAATGAAGAAAAAAAATATGTAAGAACTAAAAACTAAACATGTTATCATACCAATTGAAAGATACAATATCATTTTTTTACGTAAAAATTTACCGATAAGTGATCAAAATAAAATTAATCAAAAATATGAATGACAAAAACACACCAATAGCTTTTAACCCATAAATCAGTTTGGGTTTATTTATGTAATTCTTTTCTCCAACAAAGATTTTTTAGTTAATAAAAAAATAGATTTTCTAGAATCAAACGGAACGGACCCTAATATTTGAAGATTATATATGAAAACAAAATATTGATATATAAGTTGATGGATTATATGAGAGAAGAAAGCAAACAATAAAAGTTATCCATTAATGTGCGAAGCAATCAGCACCATCCTCAATGTCATCAGTTTTGATGCTTCCACTCTGCGCCATGAGTACTCTATACACTCTCTTTGAACAAATTTCACCTAATCTTCGGTCGTTTCCTAGTAAACCTTCTACCACCAGGTCCTTGAGCAGAAATTCCTTTTCATGTACCTGCCATTACATTACAATACCATAAAAAAATTACTCAACTTCTTCCTTCGGAAATATAAAATGTTATAATCCACACGGTAGGAAGAAACCAAAAGACGAGAATGGATCGACGAATCAGGCAACAAAACTTTGTCTTCTGTCCTAGTTGGTTACGGGACTTCAACTAAGGAAACCAGTTGAACATTTCAGACAAGGATAAATGGTTCAACTAAGCAAACAGTGCAAGTTAATGCATGAACTCTCCTATCACAACTGTCATGCCTTTGATATTAGCTCTCTCCAAAAATATTCCACATATTGCAAATCATAGGCCTTATATGCATCCAAAAGTAAAAATGAGAATCTTGAAAGTAAGAGAGATTAATAAATAATTTTTCTATGGCAAGGTACAGTTGCACCCTCTTAAAGTAGTAAGCTCTTTAGCTTCAAAAATATAAACCAGCTTAAAACTGAATTAGGAAAATTGGCCACTCGTAATGCGTGATCAAATGGAAAAGATTTACTATATAAGGATGGCAATTTGACTTACTGATTTAGTAGGGTCTATTTAAACACGCAAACGTGGTTTCATGGTGGGATACTTTTTCCCTATGGCAAGAGCAAATCGTGGCTGGACCTTTGGGGTGGCAAGCAAGGCTTTTAACCTGAATGTGAAAAGCTAAATCAGCAATGAAATGAAATGATTGCAGTCGATACAGCTTTAAAAGTAGATTATAATTGCAGAAAAAAATACTTTGTTCCCATTAATCTGAAGTTCCTCAGCTAACTAACAAATGGGGGCTAATTCATATTTTGTTTCTGAACAATTATGGCATCACTTCACCAGAATGTAAGAGTAGAGGAAGATGAAGATAAACCAGGTTATTAATTGTAGTGCATAATAATGGTTAAAAGATTTTTTTATTAAGTTAAGGTGATTACAAAATAATATTTGTTTTAGTAAATACCCTAAAACCATTTCACAATAAACACTCAATCACCTTGTTACAGTTACTAGTGCTCGAACCCGTGACTTCTAGGAACAACATCGATTCTTTAACTACAAAGATAAGTTGATTCGTACAGTGATTAAGAATATTTAGATTGACTTATATCAATTAATTGGTATAATCATTATAGTTTACAAATTAATTAATATGAACCGTTAAGATTAAACAAT